ATATGAAGGTCACACGTAAGTTAATCATGCATTTTAGAACTAGCTGCTGATACATACTAAAGGATGCCCAGTGATCATGAAGAAGTTCAGCAAGAACATGTTATCCTCTTCCTCACTCAAATTCAAGCTAAACTACATATAATTTGTTGCAAACACCATTGGCTACAGCCATCTCCCTGCATCTTCACTAGAAGCCATCTATCTGCCTGATTATGAAGGCTATGGTGCACATATGAAATATGTTCTCAATCTTTAGTCTCTGATACATAATGATCTCACGTATGAAATGCTTTCCTCCCCATTATTTTCAAGCCCACAAATTGCAGATATCAAGATTTTGAGTAATGTTCGCACTTTGGTCTTAAGTAAATTTGGATCCACTGAGACAAAATTAACAGCACACCCTCCCTCCAAACCCCCACAAATAGGGCTTAATTTAGCCTCAAGAAGCAAATTGGGAAAGTGAGGTGGACCTTATGCTCTCTAATGTCAAATCTCCTAATATTGTACCCTGAAACCATATAACTACATCCAACACTAGAAACTACTAGTCTGTGTTGTAAGAATTCCAAGGATAAAAGCATCTAAAAGAATCACAACACTCTTTTGAAATGATATCTTCATACGTACATGAACTTAGTTTGTTTAATCCAAGACACCACATTCTTAGTTTCTTATTTAAACTTAATTTCCACTTTTTGCCTAGCAAAAAGCATCCGTTCTATTTCTTTCATTGACAGGAGAAAGCAACACTTATGTGGTGACACAAAGATACCCTTTCAAAGTTTCAACCACCAATCCCAAAAGCATACGCATAGAGATAAACACAAAGAACACAAAAAGGACTAATATTGAGAAAAGCGTATGTTCAAAAGGGTACCTTGAAAAAGACAAAGTAAGGTACAGCAGAAACAGAGTATGCCTCAGATATCTCAGGTTGTTCTTCTGCTTCTACCTACAAACACCAATCAAAACCAACAAAATCAAAAACCCATTAAAGTTTTTACATAAAACTAGACACAAACATATATAGATAAACAAGTATGAACAAAATAATGATTGAAAAAGGGAACGAACCCTAAGAAAATGGGCATGAGGGAAATCGGTGGAGAGATGGGAAAAGACACTGTCCATGTGTTTGGACGCCTCACACCAAGATGCCCAGAAGTGCAGGATAATCGGCGCGCCACTCTGGCGCAGGTTATCAAGCTCCACCTTTGACTGCACATCCTTCATCGAACCTCCCATCTTCTCTTCTCTGCTTCAAAACCCCAAACGCTAAAGCCACAGAGACAGAAAAAGCAAGTGGTATCTCATTCACAATTTTATTTAGGGTTAAAGTCCAGAGAAGTCCTTGTACTTATAGAATCTGTTCGTTAATATCCCTTGCGTAGGCCTAGCAAACGAGTAGATTGAGTTAACTCGCGTATGAATTACACAGATTGAGTTATAAATGGGTTATGAGTTGATAAATACTAACCTTAACTCGATACTATTTGGTTATGGGGTCAACCCAACTAGTTAATCTTTTTTTTCAATCTTTATGATTTATTTTATTTTAATTTTTTAAAATTAAATAATAATATTTTTTTATATAAATTTTTTTTATATTTCATTGTCACAACCATCCTAAAACATAATTTAAACATTAAAGATTTCATTTAACTCAATTGTAGCAAAAAAATCAAGTGCTAAATCTCAATCTAAACCAAAAGGAGACAAAAACTTAACATCAACTCTACATATTTGAACCTTTTGCCAAAAAAAAAAAATCTTTGTAATAATTTGAACAATTAGAACTATAGCAAGTTTTCTTCTTCATTTGGAGGCAACAACCATAAAAAATGTTATTCTCATCCATTACTTAAAAAAAGTCATGTAAAAGCCGTGCTAAGAGTTTCCCAAATTTCATTGCTTGAACAACAATGGCAACTACTTATGATAGAAATCCAAGAACATTCCATAAAAAAAATAGAGAGAGAAGAAATTGATAGAGAATTGAAATGGGTGAGTGATAATAGGAAGAAAATCGGCTTAACTTTGAGCTGCTTCAAGTTGCTTTGTGGCCGAAATGCAAGTCCGGAGGTAGCAATTTGAAAGTCATGGTAAGATTGATGGTGGCTAAGGGAGAGGAAGACGGAGAGTTAGATTAGGGAGTTTGAATTTAAGGTAAATAAAATTGTTTAATATTATTAAGAATTTAAAATAATCTACTTTTCAGAAAAATAAATTTGTCAATCCATAAACTCGCAAGTTCACTTTTTTTTAACCCATGATCCGTTTGGATTAATTTTATGAGTTGTTAACGGATCACTGGTTACAAAGTGTAAATCCTAACCTATTTACTCAAGTTGAGCTAAGAATGGGCTCATGGGTCAAATTTAAAATTGTGACCCCTAATTAAGTTAAACTCATTTTGGTAATTTACTTTAATAAAAAGCACTTTTTTAGTCATTTTATTCAAGAAAACCTTTTTTTAATTTTTAAAGTTTATTATCTATCTCTTTTTAATTTATTTATTATCTTTGTACATATATGATGTATTAGATGATGAAAATTTTAAAATAGAAGGATAAAAAATGAACTAAAAAAAGCTTCTTTTGGTCCTTAACTTAAAAAAAAAAAAAATTGTTTTTAGCCTTTTTATTTTGAAATTTTTATTATTTAACATGTTACTTATGTAAAAAAAAAAGAAATAGCAAAGGAATTGTAAAGGAGTCATATGATAAAGGCAAAACTATATGTTAAGCATTTAAATTATCCCCAGATTCATTATTAAGTTCTTAAACTTTAATTGATGAAATTTAAGCTTTTGAATTCCATGATCTAAAAAAATTTAGCCCTTATTCTTATGATAGTTAAAGAAGTATGAGCTAAATTGCTCCAATTGTGGGGTTTAGGGGCTCATATGCATTAATTAAAGTTTAGGAGCTCAATGGTGAATTTACATTAGTTTAGGCACTTAACATCTGATTTTAACTATAATAAACTTTAGGATTAAAAAAGAGTTTTCTTAAATAAAAAAATTAAAAAAAAAAAAAACTTTTTACTAAAATAAAAGGAACAGAAAATGAGATTTTAACCTGTCCGTTATGCTCAGAAAGGATCATGAACTCCCGTCACCGTTACTTTCGTGATTCTTTTCAGAAGGTCCCACATGCTCGTAGAAGAAATGTGGGGATGACACGTGTATGCTTAAGATTTGGGCTTAATAGGTCTAGTCAGACTACTTTGGGTTGGGTCCTCTAAATCACCAAGGCCGAAGGCCTTAGAGTCATGGGCTTATGCCTCTCTGATGGACCCTGGGGCTCCATTTACTCTGGAGAGGGGTATGAAATGACAGATTTTTTATTTTTATTATTATTTTTTGTGTAAAACAAATAATTATACTGGAAAAAATAACAAATTTATGACGAAGAGAAATTTCCCTTTTTTGGCCCAACATGATGAAGTGGATGAAAACTAATAAGTTTCAGCTCAACTTTAAAGTCAATTTCACTTTTGGTAGTTTTCCACATTACAAAACTTTCAATTGAAATTAACCAACGAATTTTCAGATAAAATAATAAAAAGTCTAAGATCAAATTATGTGACAGTATATGAATGTAATAAGAAAAAAAAAATATTATATTGAAAATGAAAAACTTCCATAAAAATCACAATATTTTTTCTTAAAAACCGCCCGTGACAAATATTTGTAAGTCTTGAGAAATCAACTTGATTTCATGGGGAACACTTTCTTGGCAATACTCAAACCTTTGATTTTTGGAAACCAACTTGATTGCATGTTGAACACCAACTATTTTTTCTTGGCAAAACTCAACCTTTTTGGGTTGATTTTATCCAAGTGGATTAATATTGACCCAGGATTTCCTTCAGTCCAACCAATTGATTCATTCTCTAATAATTTCATAACCTGTCATGGTATCAACAATGCACAATCAACGCTTTAATAATTTCAATTTTTAAAATATGTATGTACAAGGTCTAATTAAAGTTGAGTTGGTTAGCAGGTCTTACCAAGCGTCTACGAGCCCCCTTTGAGTTATCTTCCTCATTTGTCTCAATGATGACCTTGAGGAACTTGAATACTGATGGAAAACGCAAATTATAAATAAATCAACATAATAGAAGCTCACAATGGAATAATGAGAGCAATGACTCACATGGGATGGATATAGTTACCAAAATGGAAAAACTTACATGGGATGCCTGCTAGAGAGGATAGATGACACTTCAAAAGGCGAATTGCCTCCTTGGCACCGTGTTCGTGCAAATCAAGCAACATTTCCTCGTGTGTTTCCGTGTCTCTGGTGAGCAATGAAATCAGACCATCCATCCCAAAAGGAAAAAGAAACAACAATTGTTCAAAGAAAAGATGCTCACCTAGTTTCAAAAATCTTTTCATTGGATTCATCATCAGCTTCGCGAGCCTTCTCTCGAAAAAAATGACCCTGCCGCATCCATGACATTCCAAAACTAAATTCGTTAGGGGACACTCTAAAATAATTGAGATTACACCGAAACTTTTATTGTGGAATTTAAATGACTGAAAAATCGTTATCTAAAATATGCAGCCAAAAAAAAACAGTATGTGTCAGTTACCAAATATGAATTCTTTATATGACTTCTTTCATAATTGCATAGCTGATGATTTTATAGCTAAATCTAGGCAGAAAATAAAATTAAGCTAATAGAAGTTAATGGCAGCTACTGCATTTTGGAAAACTCTTCATCCAGTAATTTTACAACTTCTCATATCCACTTTATTGATAACAGCCCACAGAATTTATGGGATCTTGTTTACATCTCAACAGTGAAGCATGTCTTCAGAACATGCGTAGCAGTATCACTATAGCCCATCAATAGGGTAGACAATAATTTACCTGCTCTAGAAGTTTGTTTGCTCGATCTTGATCTCCCTTATCAAATGCATCAATAGCCTGGCAAAGAACTCATAATCTTACTTCACAGAATTAAATTGCATCATCAACACTTAACAATATTGTCAATATGCAAAAAGTGGAAGATGGGAGTTTATAAAATAAGAAACCTATCAAGAAACAAAAAGAACATAGAAAACAAAAACAAAAAGAAAAGAAAGTGACCTACAGCTTTGTAGTATTCCTTCATTGTGGTCCGGTATTCCCTCACAGCTCTACGAAGAGCCTGGAAAGCATCCTCTTTGTCCTCATCTGTAATTGATCATGGATTTCAGAGATGAAGAAAAACAAAAAGATATAGCAAAGCAATTTTAGCATGGGAATTCCTGAAAAGCCATTTATAGTCCATATGGAAAGCTTGTAAATTTGTCTTCCACAACTGTTAAACAAACATTAGTGTAACCTTCATATTTTATAGCAGAAATAACCACCATTTTAGTAATGTTTTCCCTATTAGCTACAGCCATGGATATTCCCCACCACCCCCAACAAATTTACTTGATATGTAAAATTACTTGGATACATATCAAGTAAATTATATTTGACAATACTGCAGCTATTACATCTTCTGAGATATAAAAGAGGAGGAGAAGTTTTTGCCTAAAAGTATTTTCTTTCTTAAGAAGTCTTAAATTTAGAAACAGCACAGCAGCTAAAGGTCTCTGTGTTCAGCACTAATGCTTCCCTACCATCTAGAAGCTTTATGAGCGCTAATTGGTTATATGAGTTCATAAGAAAGTGAAAAGACTCAATACTATCCTTATTACCTTGTCGTGAGTTCATCATTTCTGTCTTTTTTTCTTTGGTAATGAAATCCTCTAGAGGTTGAACCACTGGTTCTCCAAATGCTAAAGATCTCTTTGCTAACTTGATTTTTCTCCTAGGTTGAACCGCTGGTTCTTCAAATCTCTCAGGACCAGTAAAGAAAGCAGCCAAAACTTCCATCTGGAGATCATTTTTCTTCTGTTGTCTGGGTAGTTCTCCACCATTTGTATCTGGTACTACATCCCTTCTGGTGAGTAAAATAGTTAAAAATTCATCAGGACATTAAATGTGCAAAGCCTATCTTCCAATCCCACAAAAATGTCTGATTAATTACTTAATTTATTTATGAATCTCTCTTCCATTTCTTTTGGTAAACTTTTATGATAGAAACTCAGAAAGAAAAATATACCCTCCAGAAGAATTTTTCTGCCATGAAGGTCCCTCCATGCTCGAATGCATATCTATAATCTGTAAGATGATGACAGCAACAGCAAAAAAATGGATATCTATCAGGAAACTTTACAGCCCTAGATGTTGAGCATCAACCATAAGGAGATTTAAAAGAAAGAAATGACATGCAATCATTAATTTTCCTGAAGTTTAAGCTGACAAAGACCCTGTGCACTTATGGTGCCTAATGAGTCTCACACACCAGGCAATTAGACTAACTTCTTTCTCTTTCTTTTTTGCTGACCAGGAAAAAGAAATAGACTAACCTTTTTACCTGACTCCCCAAGAACCTTTTTCTTCTTGTCTGAATTCGGTGACAACTGATCAAGCAGCTTCTCCATGCTCTGATTTTTCAAAAGAAGAAGTAGTAGAGAAGTTCAAACAGTTTCTGACACTGATAGGTAGATTGACAACATGAGTAAAACTGTGTTTTAGCTTCAAGAGAAATCAGACAAATTAAGCATTTCCTTCAGGAATAGAACATAAATTATGAGCCAATGTTAATCACAGATTCTAGCTGAAAGTAACTTAAAAGTTAGCATAATAAATTTACAGAAGCAGCTTGCTTATCCAAACTTTTTTTGCACCACTCAACAACCTCTGCAGTGGAACCTTAATCCTTAATCCTTGATTTAACAAACAACTCAAACTTGTCCTTTTAAATTATCTTGGTATGCAGAAATAGCCTTTTCCTCTTCCCTATTTGCAAAGTCTATAGTTCTCAGAGGACACTCATCATTTTGATCAAACTAATTGGTCAATTTCATAGGCCGGTTTGGATATTCAATTGCAAGCAACATGTACATACCAGATTGTTTTAGTACATTGGTTCAGATGACCCACGTAGTTACAATTTATAAATCTTTAGTTGAGAATTCATAATCTGAGAACTGAGACTGTAAAAGCTAATTAAAATTACTGATTTAGAAAACCAATCTTGATATGCACTTTTTGAAGCAAACTCATTATATGGGAAAAAAATTAGTAATTGTATTTGATGCATCTAACACACTTAATTTTCTATCAAAATCCTTACAAGCTTGAGTACTTGGTTCTGATAATCTGGAAGAACAGCTAGATGCTTCCTTTTTGGCTAAAAAAAAAAAAAAACACGTAGATGCTTTCTTTTCAGTTTATATTTTATCCTAATGTGTGTGTTACATGTATCTTGGTTATGTATCTACTGGTTACAACCTTTAAGCAGCAACCATGAAAGGCTTTTTTCTCCTCATGGTAGGAAATGAATAAAAGAGGCCAATAAATAGTGCATACATGGGACAAAACACAAGATAAACTCCTCTCATATAACCTCACATGGTATGAATCTTATTTTCAAACAAGAATACATTGATAAGAAAGAGTAAATTATGCATACCTTTTCCATATCATATCCACAACTATCTGCATATTCAATAATAACATGGTTAGTTGTCTAAAACACATGAATATGTGCACACATCGTATTTACCTACATTGAATTAATATATGTGTAGACATAAAATTTTAAATTTAAGTAGACGACATGGCAAGAACAAGGGAAGCACAACAGTAAACCAAATTCAATTAGATGGGGTAGCAACTTCAAAATAAAATTTCAACTATCAATAGCACATATCATCAACAATAGCCAGTGCCATCTAATGCCAGTCCATTTCTTTGTCATTGATACCAATTTCAACATTGATCTCTGCACAAGTTCTACTCCAAGATCATGCAGAAATGCATATATATATATATATTTTTTCCAATGAAGAAACAATCGAAGACAGAGTAAGAGTTGATTAAATAGAAACATGTGATAAGGCACTCTTCAAAATCAACTTTTACAAAAAAGAAGAAAGGAAGAATTAAAAGATCAACTTCTTCTTTCCTTGATAATATGAAACAACAAGCATGACAGGGTATAGATACAAGGGAGATGTAAAAAGCAAGATCAAATGCAAATGGATGATGGCAAACAAAAGACATAAAATTCACTAGGTTAAAAGATAAGTCTAACAAATTAGCAATCCATCAATCAAGTCATAGCAGAAAGATTAGTTAAGGGGGCAAAGGTATAAAAAATTGGTTACCTAGAACTTCTTGAATCACATCCCTATCCAGTTGAACTCCAAACATTTTGAATAGAAAATCCTCCATATCCTTGCGAATAAAATCCTCCACTAGAAGATTGGATTCCACATCTTCCTTCCCAAGTTCAGGCCCTGGCAGTTGCTTCATATCCACCTTCAATGGTTTGGTTCCTGGACAAGAACCATTAACCAAAGGGATCGATTTGATATAATCCTTACCCAGAATGCTCGAAATGGTGCCACCTGATGCCGGCCTACATTTTTGCTTTGATCCTCTAAACTTCCCATTTGTGAGATAAGCATCCTTAGATTTATCACTACAGAATGGCTCTGCAGGTTCTTCGTTTCTTCCCTCACTGTCGGACAAATGGGTAGCAGAACAAGAGCTGCTTCCTTGCATTTCATACAGAATCTCTCCAGCCAAATTTGCATTTCGTCCTGCTTTGCAATAGGCAGAGGCAATATCACTCAGAGAAAATGCAGCCCCAAATGCATCAAGCAAACCCTTCAATGCCATCTCCTCATCATATTTCAATCCATTCAAACTAGATACCTCCATTCCGAACCGAACAAACTTCAAAATAAGAGTCCAAAAAGAAATCACTCAGTCTGTAATTGAGGATCCCAAAGCAAAAGCAATAATCATTCAAGAACTTCTACAGACACCATTCATGCATAAATCGACAGTTGAAAAAGAGGTAAAACTTTAATGTTATAAGGAGGATTAACCTACTGAGAATGGATTGCTCAAATAAATCATCACCCTTTTTTAGGCCAAATGAAGAAGCATAAATGCTCAGAGGAAAATTCTTTCAACAAAAAGGAAAAACAAATAAAGGCTCTCACACAATGTGCATTGAATAAGTTAAAAATGGATGAATAAAGAAAACAGATACAAACTAATGCACCGTACTCACACTTATCTTACCCATTTTATTGCCAGGATACTTATAAGCATAACATTATAAACTTACCAAAAGAGGCTCCAATTCTTTCTTCATTCTACAACTATTCAATTTTCAGAACAACCACCCAAAACGCATGCCAGTGACACCTCACTTCTTGACATCCACAACATTAAATTGTAAATAGACAAGCTCCATAAAACTCCACACAAAATACATATATATATATATATTCAGATAATCTTAGGGAATTAATGGAATCAAAATGTATAAAATTAAATAAAAAAAAAAACCAATAATGCCATAATCGATCTCCATTTTTCAGCTTACCAGTGACAGTAAATGAATCAAATCCAAATCCAAAGCTAAAAACACACAACCACATTTTCTAAAACTGAATCGGATGTAAGCGGAAAAAAAAAAAAATCAAAATCTCCTCCACAAAACTGATTGGAAACGGAATACAAATCCGTCCATTTTCCATTTTTATATTCCGAGCAAGAAAAAAGGAAAGTTTCGGAAGCAAAGAAAATGAGTTACCGGAGTGCGTGGCGGATGATGAGACAGATTAATCGGAGGTTTCGCGGCGGTTGCTGGGAAGTTGCAAGCGGAGAGAGAGGAAATGCGAATTGTATGATGAGAAGCAGAGTGTCAGTCGGCTGTGTGATTGATTGTGTGGCGTTAGGAAATGTGGAGGAAAGAGAGAGAAATAAATATAAAAATAAGAAAAAAATTGTGCTTTTGGCGCTCAATTGATTGCCCCTGCAGTAGGGGGAGTTGGGTTTTGATTCTTTTTTTGGTAAGCGCGTCGGCGCCTTCTTTTTGTTTCCTTCATTCTTCAACTTCTCTAGCACGTTATGGCTGATACTGA